TTAAGATGAAAATGGGAGAAACAGGAACAGAGACAGGAACACTGTTTCCTGCATTCTCTAGCTGGTTGGGGAAGGTACCAAGTTTCCATTTCTTATAAGGTTGTGTAAATTTAGCTAGCAAATAGAAAAGGACCCCAGAACCTGAAGGAACAGTCACACTGCTCCCTCTCTGAAAGCGGGGTTTAATTGAATTCACCAGACCCAAGATAAATGATCAATAGGTATTTATTAGGGAAGCACTTACAAGATAAGAGTAAATAACTACCTTCCTGCTCCAGAAGATTCAGTCTCTGCCATTCTGATGTTCTTCACAACCCAATAGAGCACAAGCCAGCCCCTCCTTTACCTTATAATGGGTCATGTCCACATTTGAAACCATGTCCAAAGGGTGTGGTCATCATCACAAGTTCACTGTCAAGGCAAAATGCCACTACCTCTCCACAGCAGAAGCCCAACAGGCGACCAGAAGGATGTGTGCTCTGGAGGGTCTACAAAGCTTCTTTTCAGTTAATACCCTCTTGTCCATTTGGTAGCTGGATGGATGCTCCCACCACAGTCATGTTTATCACACAAAAAGAGGTATCCCTTGACTTAGAGGATTTCCCTAAGCCAGGGACTGAGAAGATGCTCCCTAGGATGAAAATCTCTCCAAGCTTACCTGGAGACTAAGTTTACTTTGAATTAACCAAGGCAATGCTTCTTGATTTGTTAATAATGCAGAGAAATTTAACAAAAGACATTCTCTTCATGCACTAATAGATAGCTGGTCAATTGCACGTCATCCTTATGTAGTTATCAGTAATACCAGTATCTTACAGGAGATAAAATTAGACTGATTGCATGCATGATTGAGCCCACCCAGAGTGGGGGATCCCACCAGTGACGTAATAGGGCTGAATAGCAGAAGCAAACAGCAAGGAGCAGAACTTTAATAGACATTTGCCTGAGTAGTGCTAAGTCAGACTTCCCCTTAGGGACAGCTGTAGTATGCAACTGAGAGAAACCAATTAAAAGGGAATTTAAAATGCACGAGAGGCTCCTGGGCAGGCAATGAGGCCACCACAGCTTATAGGCTATACAATAGGTGAAAAGGGGTTATCAAGGGAGCTGACAAGTTAACAGGAGGTATTGAAGTAAGAGCTACCCAAGGTGGAGATGTTGATACAGGGCAGGCAGAAAGGGTCTTAGAAATGAGCTGTTCCACTTTTCAGAGCTCCCGTATGCAGAAGTTTAAGTGAAGTCATTGTTGACTCATGGTGTAGATAATTGGGACACTATGAATTAAAGTTTGTGTTGGTTAAAAGAGGAGGGAAGATAGTGTTTTAAAAAACTGGCAGTAAGACAACAGGACATGAAGGGTGGGCACATACAGTAAGCAACTGTGTCTCATCACCCTCATGCACTTAGAGCCACCATTTACATGCAAACAATCGTTAGACTAATTGCATATCATTTGCAATTATGCACTGAAGGAGGTTTGATGGAAGATCATGATTAGGTAACACTTAGCATTCTTAGTTCACACTTCCCCCCTCACCTATGAGTAATAAGACTGAGTTTCATTTGCATTATTTTATAATTTAACTAATTTCCTGATTCAGACATAGTTCCCTCCCACTTTCTTTAAATTAGATTTCTCATCATTCACTAAGTTCTAGAAACAATGCCAACAAATTCACCTGTAAGATGAAAAACGTTTGTGTGAGGTGTTTTGCCTTTGTCTTGTTTTTGGACAGGGCTATGTATATTTTAATGACTTGAATATTTGAAAACTGGTAGGGTCTCAAAGCTCAGATAATTTCTCTATCCTACTGGGACTTCTCATCCACAGGAAGATAAATTGGATGTGATATCTGAGGAAGATGAAATTGGAAACAGAAGCACACCAAGACCTTGATTGAAAACCTTTAGACTACAACTGCATGTCTACACATAAGCACTGGGGAGGACAGATATGCAGGTAGGTAAGAGGGAAACTCATGCCTGACTGCTTTTCTGAGTTTGTGAGAATCTGACATGTTTAAGACAATGCAGCAGGGCAGGACAGTGAGAACTGAGAACAGGAATGCTAAGGAGCCCCAGGGATATGGGTTAAGAGGATTGAAACAATGGGGGCTATTATGGGGTGGGTGGAATTCCCCAGGACTTATGCTGGTGTTGGAGATCAGATCCTATTAACAGACTCTTATGGTTCTAGCCATGGGAACCCATGACTGACTTTAGTCCTATTGGCTTTGAAATGGAGTAGGCATTGGGTGAATGTGTTCTTTCCCTTGGGGAGTATAGTTGGAATGAGGATGAAAAGTAGGATGAATGGTGTCTCACCAGAAACCCCCATTTCTTCTAAGGATAAACCCAATGTCATGTTGCTAATTCCATTGAATATGGAGGACTGGAGTAGAATGCCATGCTTTATTTGTGCTCTGTTTATCAAACATGCCTAGCAAAGTGTTGGGTCCAGGAGAGAATGTGAAACCAAATAAGAAGCTCAGAGTCTGTAACACATTCACCCAATAAATACTCCAGCAGAAGTCTGACCCAACAGACACTCTAACAGAAATCTGACCCAACAGATACTCAGGCAGAAATCTGAGCCATCTTCCTGAAGCAATAAGTAATCCGAGAACCCAAGGAAGCTCAGGAGTGGCAGTCTTTCTGGAGGAAGCATCCCCTGCTCACCCTTAAAGAACAGGCAGAATTTAGAGAACTGAGATAAAGATGGAAGCCAAGTGCTTATGCTGTGAGTCTGGGAATGACAAGAGCTGCTTCACGGAGGGCACACAGCAAGGCTCTTGGCACAAAGTTGAAAAAGTGGGATGTACAGAGACTGCTATTGGTGATATTTCAGCCACTTTGACTTCTGTCACCAGTGCTACTTTATGTTTCTTTTACTGCATTTCACAGAGGCAATATTAATTAAGGGGACACACATAAGAAGCAGTAAATAAGGTACATTTTTGACATTTTACCTTAGAATTGTGTTGTATAAAAGGAAGCAAGGCTAGCAAGGGTTAACTAGTACTCAAAGGCAGCTACAGAACAAAGTTCCACTAAGACTGAGACAGGGTTTTCAAGGCTTTCCTCCTGATTTTCGTGTATCTGAAAATTGCCGCTTTAATCAATGCATTATTTTTCACAATGAAGCAGAGTCCTGAATGTTCCTGGTTTTCAATGGACATAACTCCTTTCTGTTTCTCTTTGTGCACTAGCCACAAGCTTAACTGCAGGAACTGGACAGAGGATGCAATTCTCCAGTGTCTAGTGACAAAGACATCACTGGGACAGAGGGTGTAACAGTAGTAGAGAGCTAGGACACAGGGATTTGTTTCTATATTCACAACACCCCTTAGGTGAGATTCAAGATGGTAAATGAGCCCTCAGTGGAGAATGCTTATCACCCCAGTCTCTGAACAATGGCCTTATTGTTGGTTATTACCTCTTTGGGGAGGGCCAGTCTCTTCAGCATGCTTGTTGTCATGTGCCATAAACATCAAAGGCAAGTTGGCAGTGGCCCTGCAGAGCCCAAGCTTCCTGGCTACACAAAGCCTGCTGGTAGCCACTTGGAGAGTGGGCTGGTAGGCTGGTGTCAGAAAAGGCAGCATTCAAACTCTAGTCAGTGGTGAGAATCTGGAGCATTAGAGCATCTGTCCTCTCTCTCTCTCTCTCTCTCTCTCTCTCTCTCTCTCTCTCTCTCTCTCTCTGTGTGTGTGTGTGTGTGTGTGTATGTGTTGAGTCTGAGGGACTGGGTTCCCTATAGCTATCCCATCCCGGAGTAATTTACTACAGCACTCTGCCCTTGAGGAACAAAATGACTGACTTGTTGGATAGCCCCCAGCTGAAAATTTTACTCTAAAAGTTGGGAGTGGGGAAAGAATCTATAGAGTAGAGAGGGTGGGTGTCATGGTCATCGTAAGTCCAACTGTAAAACCCTAATCATTTCTAGAACACCAGAGAATTAGCAACAATCGAAGCAACAGCACAGCAATGCTGGAGTTCATTTGGAGAGTCTTCCTTTGGACAAGAAGGACAGGCAGAAGCCAGTGACTTAGGGTGGTGACTAAGGGTACTCAATGTGAGTCACATTAGGCAGGATGGGTATGAAGTGGCCCCACCACCAAGTGTTTGCAAGTGTGAAGCAGAAAGCTCATGTTTTCTAGACACATGATTTGTTCCTGTCCTCTAGATGTTTTTATAAAAAAGAAGACAGTGTCAGCTTTAATGAGAAAGTTATCGTCCTTTGATAATATGGAAGTGAAGCTTGCCAGACGCTGATTCTTTTGATTTATTCTAGGCAGCAACCCGTTGCAAATATTACCACCACCAACTCATCAAAGAATTTGTTTCTCACTATTGTTCACTGAGCAGATACAGCAAAGACAGAGTGGTCCTCCCTGCCTTCCACTCTCTGTCTCCTGGTGTTAGCTACTGCCCCTAGGGATGTGGGTTCCCAGTGCTCTGATGATGAACAACAAAGCAAGCAAACAAAAATTACTAAACTTAACAGCTAAATAAATTGACATGTTTACCATGAGAAAAAATACCCAGTTTTAGAAAATTTACAATTTTTGCTAGAAATAGATGCTCCACACACTACTCTGGCATTAACTACAATGCTCTCAGCCAGTGAAACAGAGTGAATCTATCATTGAAAAGTGTTACTGACAAGGCACAAGTTTTCACAGAAACAGCAAAACATCTGCATTTTGAAGGAGCCACAGTGCTGAGCTTTGAAAGCTACAATGTTCAAACTATTTAAACTCATCGTGTTGGGGGATTCCTCCTTCTGTAATTTAAGAAAGGAAGGAAGAGAGGGAGGAGGAAGGAAGGCAGGAAAGAAGGAAGGAAGAAAGAAAGAAAGAAAGAAAGGAAGAAAGAAAAAGGAAGGAAGAAAGGAAGAGAAGGAAAAGGAGAGAAAATAAAAACTATTCCCAGTAGCATCTATGACACTCACAGCCCTTTCTGGTCCCACCTGTTCTGTCCGTTAGAGCCAGGACACTTACCTTAAAGGAGGAATAGAAGGACCCCCCCTCCTCCACCGCCAGCACTTCAGTGAAAGTGACAATTTCAGTGCAAGCTACCGTCTGGTTGGCATGTGAGTTGCCCTCTGTGAGGTTGGCTGGCATGGCTCAGGCAGGGTCGAGTCGCACTGCCCTTGTACCTGCAGCCGAGTGAGAGTCTGGTTAGCCTCCTGAGTGCCGGGGCAGCAGCTGCTGATCGATGGCTCAGCACCTCTTCTGCCTCTCAAGGCTTCTGGCTATTGCTCACCGGAGCGGAGGCACAGAGCCCTCCCTGAGCCCACCTCATTGAAGAGTTCTGCCTGACGACAAGAAGATCCACGTGCTGCTCTCTCCTCTGCAGTTATGATCCAGCTGCCAACCTAGCCCTCACTATCCTACATACCTGCCCTCGGCAGCCTCATCCTAAGGATATCCCTCAGGGCCTTGCTCCTGTCCCCTGGAAGGGCTTTCCTGACTCTGTAGTATACCCCAATCTTTGCCCCTGCTCCCACTAAGCAGTAATTGGGATGTTTAGCTGGTCCATTAATTCAGGTCATGTTAGTACATCCGAAATCAGTCATTAATGCTTTTGTTTCCTCTGAGATTGCTCTCTGACTTAGAATTCTCACCCAGTCATTCATTTGGCAATGTACACTTTACTTCACTAAAGGCAAGCAGCACACAGTACCCATGCCTCTACTGCGGTTTTCACAAGGCAGCGCACACTAGGAAGCATGGGTCTGTTTGTCAGTAAGCCACACTCTCTCATAATATGATAGGGAGTTCCTGTGTGAACTCATCTACTCCAGTACTCATGGTAAGTGTGGAAACCAGATAGTGGCTGAATCCTTAGTTCTATAGAGAGTGCTAGGCAAACAAACAAACATATCCTTTCAATAACAAACTTACAAAACACAATAATGTGTTCTTTTATTTGATTTGTAAAATGGCCGTGGGATAGGCAGATAAATAGCTCTTTCGTTCTTATTTTGCCCTAGAAGAGATTAACACCAGGAGGAAAGATGATCTTCCCAGTGTCTCACAGGCCAGGCACAAATCTAAGCCATAAACCTGATACCGTACACTCACAGCCAGTCTGTGAGCCACACAAGCCAACTATTAGTCTACTACCTTTGGTAACCATTGTAGGTTCTCCATCATGAAATAACACGGCGCCTGAAATTCCCTAGGAAAGTTTTGGGGTGATCAGAGGACTGGAGATGGGAAGACATTAGGTCCACAAGTGAACGGTGTCAACAGGACAGATCTGGGTAAGTTTGCAGTCTTAGCGAAAGGTCAAAATTAAGCAATGACTCAGTGACAGAACACTTCCCCTGCAAATGGACAGGGGAAGATGCTCAACCTCATTAACAACCAGGCAAAGCAGTTTATGCAGGTGTTTAACCCACAAGCACAATGAAACCAAGAGATGACAATCCCAAAATGTTGGCAAGATTAAAGGGAAATAAAAAGATCTATATATTTTTATTCTGTTGCGATTTAGTTGGCATGGTTACTTCAGAGAGAAGAATGTCAGGAAGCTGGATCACATGCTCCAATGAATGATTCCTCTTATACAGTTATTATTCAAATGTCTTAACTTTGGGGATGTTTGTTACACTGCACTTTAAAAATGTGCATTTTTGCCATAGTGCATGCCTTTAATCCCAGCACTTAGGAGGGGGATAGATCTCTGTGAGTTCAAGGCTACCCTGGCCTACTAAACTGCACAGAGAAATCCTGTCTCAAAAGAAAGTGTATTTTCCTATAAGAAGTTTTCATTTCAATAGTCTTTTTATTTAAAATAGATTTTTTCCATACACTATATCTAATTGTGGTTTCCCCTCCTCCAACTTTCTCTTTTCCTCTCTCATAAGAAAATTACCTCTTTCATTAGAAAAAAATAGGCAACCAAGAAGAACAACAAACAAGAATAGGACAGAACAAACAAAGAAAGGGGAAAAAACAGCCAAAGGAAAATTAAAAGACACAGATACACAGTTACTCACACACACACACACACGCACACACACACACACACACACACACACACACACACATTTGCACATAAAGAAACTGCATGAAAATACAAAATTAAAAACCATAGTATATAAACAAAAAATTATAAGACTAAAAATGTCTGACAACGCATTATGAATTAGGAGACAAAGTAACCTCCAAAATACCATCTAGTTCATTCTCTGTTGTCCATTGACTGTGGGGGATAGGGCTTACCATCAAGTGTGGTTTGTATACCTAGTGAGAGTCTGTTGGAGAAAATTAATTTCTCCTTGGTGTCCATTGTCAGTTGGAGATAGCTTCTGGGTTAGGGATGAGGAATTGTGTTTGCTTTTCCTCTCAGCATTGGGACTCCATCCGTCATGCTGTGCGGGCTGGCTGCCAATATCTCTCTGAGTTCATATGTGTATCAGTACTGTTATATTCAAAACACCTTTTTCTTTGGTGTCATTCTCAGTGACTTCACCCCACTTCCCCCTGACGGGAGATATTTTATGGAGATGTTTTTTGTTTTTTAGGACTGAGTGTTATAAGGTCTCTCATTCTCTACACATTGTCCAGCTGTGAATTTCTGATTTCTTCCCATATACTGCAGGAGGAAACGTCTCTGATGATGTCTGAGTTAGACCCTGATCTATGAGTATAGCAGAATGTCGTTAGGAATCATTTCATTGCTACATTCCTTTAGCAGAACAGTAGTATTTGTTTTTCCCCTAGGTCCTTGGCCTATCTAGTCTCAGATTCTTGCTCACCAAGCCTATCATATCTGCAATGGGTAACATCTCATAGGGTGGGCTTTAAATGTAATCAGATAATAGTGGCTAGCTACTCCCATAACAATTTTTGTGGTACAACTGTACCAGCATATCTTGCAGGCAGGTAACAATTGTAGATCAAAGGATCTGTAGCTGGCTTGGTGTTTAATCTTCTCCTCTGATGTTACGTGAAGTATTTTCTAGTACCACAAACAATATTCAACAGGGAGAAGGTTATAAGCAGACACCGACTTGACTTCTGCATGTCCAATTAATTATGTAGATGTTGTCAAAAACATTTCTTAAAAAAATTCATGAGAAATGTCTGAGAGAAAAAAGAAACTGGTTAGTTCATGGAGTAATGCGAATAATAGGAGTGAAAACGGCAATTGTCATGGACAGTAGGTGGATGGTGAGGGACTTCCCTACATGTTCGGGTAGACCATTGCTTGACTTTTGACTTCTCAAGAAAAACACCTATACACATGTGCAAAGCGACATTTCAAAAGAACCTTCTGTAATACTGTTAAACATATTGGCAATACTCTAAACAGTCACAAAAGAATGAGACATTTGAAGGTAGAAACTACCCACAGGCCTCTCAGTTGAGTGAATAAATTTCTATGTAGTTATCCAATGAAATACTATGTAGCAATGTGAATGATTGGCACCGTAATTTAAATTTACAAGTACAGTATTAAGCAAAATTGTGAAAGTGTTTGTCTCATTTTTGTAAAGCATAGCTATAATTACACAAACACATTGGAACACTGCAGTTTCGGTTTCAGGCAAGGTAACAAACATGCTATAATATTTGTCAGTCTCCCTGAGCTACTGGGTATCTAGAGAGTTGGTCAGATTTTTTGCTGGGCATGTGTATAAGTGTGGTTACAGATTAGATTAACATTTGAATTAGGAGACTCAGTAAAACAGGTGCCTTCCTATGGGCAGCCTTCAGTTACTCAGTTGAAAGCCTGAATACCACACAGGCTGGTTTTCCTGTGAAAGAGGGACTCTTGACTTGTAGAGACTGGATGGTGCTCTAGTCTCTCCATTGCAATTGAATCAGACTATGTTCACAAGCCAATTTGATTTACAACATGGGTCTTGAGCCTATTGATTTTGCTTCTTTGAAGAATGTTGATTAAAACATGTGGCTTTCAGTTCTTCACCTGAACTCCTCCCAAGATCCCACAGAAAATTATAGAGATGCAGAAAAATGCAGAATATAGGTTAAAAATCATGTCAGTATGTAAAATGGCTTAAGTGATAATTAAGGAAATTCTGCGTGTTGGTCAGGCTCTGGAGAATAAGGACAATCATATTCCTTATTTGATACTTGGCTGATGGGAATGAAAATTAGTTCACACACTACAGAAGTCAGAACAGAAGTTCCCCTGAAACAAAACCAACCAAAACTCCCATGTGATCCAGCTCTGCCACTCTGGTTATAGACTCAGAAGAAGCACAATTGTTGTACTACAGAGGTGCCTTCACATACGTGTTTATTGCTGCATTGCTTACATTAGCAAGTCATAAAATCAGTCTGAATGTTCATTGCCAGCTGAATGGATAAAGAATGCTATACCCACACAATGGAGCTTAATTCAGTAACAAAGAGGACTGAAATAATGTCATATACAGGAAAATGGATGGAACTGGAGACCATTGTGATTCCAGAGATAAGTTAAATTCAGAAAGGCAAGCATTTTCTCTTATGTACTATTTAGATATGGAGAGCACATACAAGTGAAGGGTGTGGGGATATGGAAGGGGAAAGCAGAGAAATGGACAAGAAAGCATAATTGGAATGAATGTGATCAAAGTACAGTGCATGGTGCATCAACCTGCCATGATGAAATTCATTGCATGTGAATTTAATACATGTTCATTAAAGAGCAATCATAGTCTACTAGGGATGGCAATTGGAAATGATACTTTGGAAAATGGCTTGGCAGTGTTATCAAATGCTGAACATATGTACACTCTATGACCCAGCAGTTTCTATGCTAGGAAAATACCCAGCACAAATGAGCACATATGTCAGCCAGAAAATCTAACAACAAATCCAGCAGTTCTGTTAATAATTGCCCATAACTAGAAAGAACTCAATTACCTAAGAACAGCAAAGTGCTAAATAGCTGTGGCACATTCACATAATCAAAAGTATACCGCAATGAAAATGAATTATTTTGGGGGCTTATATTATCCACTGCCTTGATTGGGATAATAGTTGCATGATGATATTCTACCTGTGAAAACAAGTAGAGATTCACACATTTAGAGTTTCTGCATGCATGTTAGCCAAGTTCATAAACCAGAATGCTGGAGGGAGCCAGAAGCTTCCTGAGACTATTTTTGATGGGGGTAGATGTCAGAGTGAGAAAGGACTACCGAG